TTTCTTTCTTTCTTTTTTTTGACTCTATGTCACCGATTCATTAATTTATCAACCCTATTTCGATCCTGGTTATTAGGGCTTTTCTTTCTGTCACACTGTATCTCATTATTTAGATTTAGTTTATATTTTCATTTTATTTGTATTTTCTTCGTTCTTCTTTTCTTTTTTTTTTTTTTTTTTTTTCTCTCTTGTTTTTTTCCATGTTTTTGTCTTGTTTGTTTCTCTTTCTAATGGCTTTCGTTTCTTTCTTTCTTTCTTTCTTGTTTTTTTTAATCTTTCAAAGAAGAGTTCCAATTCCTCTTTTGGTTTCTGTTTTTACTTTCTCTCGTTCTTACTCTCCTTCTTGTTCTTTCTCTTCCTTCCTTTCTCTTTTCGATACTTTGGGTTACTGGTATCAATTTTTTTTCCATTTCTATCTTTCGTATTCCCTTTCTTTCTTTTTTCTTTCTTTCTTTTTTTTTTACCTTCGTTTCTTAATAATACTTGTTTCAGACTTTCTTCTTACTGTCAGGTTTTACGGCTAATGGTATCACCGAAGTTAAGCTGCTCGTATTTAGATAGTTGGCCGCTTGGGAATACCAGTTGCTGTAATTTTCCATGTTTTTCTATTGATGTCCTCAGGTTTCCTTATATTTACTTACTTTTGAGGTCAGATGGAAGACAAAAATAACAAAGTCGATTTTGATTTGAGGTCAGATGAACAAAACAACAAAGTGAGAATGATAGATTCAGAGAAAGGGTTTTCAGTGGGTTGTTTCTTAACAGTCAAACAATGTAGACATGTTTACTTTCGTGTCTGAAACGGCTCCCCTTTGAGAGAGCGACCCCATTGGGTAGTTAGAAAATGAAAACGTCGACGTGATTAATAAAATAAGTTTAAAATTCCCTGTGTTAAAGTTCTTTTTAGCTCTGGACACAAAACAGCTAGCAATCACCGGCCGCCAGAGATGAATGAAACTTTATTACCGGAGCTTCTTCCTTTCGTTTTTAATCTATATAAATAAGAAAAAAAATTACATCGCCTTACAGGATGGCCTCGTGCATATATCCCCTTTCAACGAGACTACACGTCGAAGGTTCGAATCGATTTGTTTCATTTTGTTTCAGCTTCGCAGAAGTTATAGTTAGAGAAAAATAGAAACATACAGATTAAGCCATCATATAATAATCGTGCTTGTCCATCCAGTGCTTAGTTTCTCAGTTTGCACAACCGTTACGCCTTGCCAATACCTAATAAATAACTATTACGTTTTGATCGCGTCAAGACAAAGCACGTGAACGAAGATATACAAAACCTCCAAACCTGAGAGGGCTATGCAACACCTCAGCTATGGGTTAATTAGTAAAATTTATATCGCTAAATCATTATCACCTCCCAAAAATTTCTTACGATATAAACATATTACGTGGTTTTAAATTTTTACATTCTATAAAAGATATTTTCTGGCGTTAAATAATCTGAAAAAGGTTGGTAAGCCGTAAAAAAGAAACCCCCAAAAAAACGAATGAACCAATCAACTCGCTTTCTTTTATTCTTTTTCTCATTTACTCCATTTTTTTATGTCACCCAATGTTGACAATATCCTCCCAGATTACAAAGAAACTTGAAACAACAGTCGTGTGGCTTCTATCAAATTATGTTTTGAATCTCGTAGAGAGAAAGTAAGAGCAACGAGGAAGTCGTTAGGAAAATAAAACCAACGTGAAAACATATTTACAATGAGGCGGAGACATTTGAAATGCCTTGGAAATATAATGAGTCGATAGGATATTGATAATCTAACACTCACATCTCATATTTATGACAAGAGTGACAACAGAAAAAAAAAGCAAGTAACTTATTTTATGAGCCTATATGCACTAAAGGAAAAAAGAGATTGCAAAGGGCTGAATTATACAAAGGAGAGAGAACTGTAGAAAGACATTATCACCTACATTCTGAAAGGATTTGTCACATAAAGCCAGAAAAATATGGTTTTATTAACGTTGGAATTGGGCAATTGACCTCTTAAACTTGTTAGATGTAAGTTTCATTCACTGGCCAAATGCTTTGTTAAACCATATTTTCCTCTGATTTTATGTAACAAATCCTTTCAGAGCGTAGGTGAAAATGGTTCTTGATATAATGGAATATGCGTACACCTGTGTTCACCCTCACTGGAATATGATTGGCTGGTGTCCGTCATAAATACCGACGGATATGTAGGAGAGTCAAAGAGCCTTAGTCTGATAGCGAAGTCAATAACGACGCCCATTGAACTACGCCATTGTTCTACACTTCTTACCTGCGACTACGACGCGTGCCAGTAGATTACTGCTACCATATTCTACTTGGTTATAGTAGGCAAAACCACTTAGCTACTTCGTTCAAATATATCCCTTTCCGGGACATATCACTATCTATCTATCTATCTATCTATCTATCTGATATAATGGAATATGCATACACCTGTGTTCCCCCTCACGGGAATATGATTGGCTGGTGTCCGTCATAAATACCGACGGATGTGTAGGAGAGTCAAAGAGCTTTAGTCTGAGAGCTAAGTCAATAATGACGCCCATTGGACTACGCCATTGTTCTACACTTCTTACCTGCGACTACGACGCGTACCAGTCGATTACTGCTACCATATTCTACTTGGTCATAGTAGGCAAAACCACTCAGCTACTTCGTTCAAATATATCCCTTTCCGGGACATATCAGTTCTCCACAATTTCCTTTTTGTTGTTCAATGTAATTCAACCCTTACCTTTGAGCTTGTTTTTCTTTTTCCATCTTACATTTCTTTCTTTCTTTCTTTCTTTCTTTCTTTCTTTTTCCATCTTACATTTCTTTCTTTCTTTCTTTCAGCTTTTTATTTTCCCTCTTTTTTATTTCGCTTTTTCTTTCTTCTTCCTTTCATTTTTACTCTATAGAAATAAGAAAAAAAAAATTACATCGCCTTACAGGCAATAAAAGGATGGCCTCATGCATATATCCCCTTTCAACGAGACTCCACGTCGAAGGTTCGAATCGATTTGTTTCATTTTGTTTCAGCTTCTCAGAAGTTACAGTTAAAGAAAAATAGAAACATACAGATTAAACCATCATATAATAATCGTTCTTGTCCATCCACTTTGCACAACCGTTACGCCTTGCCAATACCTAATAAATAACTAATACGTTTTGATCGCGTCAGAAGACGAAAGACATATCAGAGACGCTACTTGGTTTCGCTCAATTGTCAATTTCAAAGCTTTTCATTTGTACCCCTTTACTTCTTAAAATAACCACCAGCATTCATATTTATGATTGTTATTGCAATATTTTTCAAAGTTGTTAAGCTCAAATATTTAACAATGTGATAGGCGAATTTCTACGGATATTTTATTGTCTTTGAACACGCTATGAGCTTAATCAATCATTAACTGAAGAATTAAGATTCATCAGAAATTTCGAATAGAAAAACCGTGAAATTTTCACGGGTTAAAGGTACTCTTCATGGATTTATGTCTTTTAGATTGTATTTTAAAACAGCGATTTTTTAAAATTATATTTTTCTGATTCCTTTTTTCTATTCTTTCTTTCCAATAACGATGGTGCCCCAAGAATTTTTTTTTTCTTTGGCATCAATTGTTTTTTTCGTTGTTCTACTTTTGGTTAGCATCATTCCTTTTACCATTTCCTTTTCCCTTTTCTTCACCTCCTTCTTCTTGCCTTTTGTTTTCCTCGTTTTCATCTTTTCTCCAATATTTCTTTTTCTCATTATGTTATTTTTGCTCTTCACAATTTACTTTGTTTTTTTTCTATGTCAAGTTTTTTTTCTTTTCCAGTCTTACGTTTTTATTATTATTTTTTTCTTTTAGTTTTTCTTTTTTCCGTCTTATATTTCTAAGTTTCTTTCTTTCTTTCTTTCTTTTTTTTTTTTTCTTTCTTTCTTTCTTTCTTTCTTCTTCTTTCAGCTTTTTCTTTTCCGTCTTTTTATTTCGCCATTTCTTTCTTCTTTCAGTTTTTTTCTTTTACATTTACATTTATAACTTCCTTCTTTTCTTTCATTTTACTTTTTCTTTTTTCGTCTTACATTTCTTTGTTTGTTTGTTTCTTTCTTTCTATCTTTCTATCTTTCAGCTTTTTTCGGTCTTTCATTTTTTTTTCTTTTACATTTATAACTTCCTTCTTTTCCTTCCTTTTTACTTTTTCTTCTTTTGTCTTACATTTCTTTCTTTCTTTCTTTTTCTTTCAGCTTTTCTTTTCCGTCTTTTATTTTTTCGCTTTTTCGTTCTCCCTCTTTCATTTTTTCTTTTACATTTACATTTATAACTTCCTTCTTTTCTTTCCTTTTTACCTTTTCTTTTTTGTCTTACATTCCTTTCTTTCTTGCTTGCTTGCTTTCTTCTTTCAGCTTTTCTTTTGCGTCTTTTTTCGCTTTTTCTTTCTTCTTTCTTTCATTTTTTTTTTACATTCATTTATAACTTCCTTTTCTTTCCTTTTTACTTTTTCTTTTTTCGTCTGACATTTCCTTGTTTCTTTCTTTCTTTTTTTCTATCTTTCTTCGTTCAGCTTTTCCTTCCGTCTTTTTTATTTCGCTTTTTTTTTCTTCTTTCTTTGTTTTTTTCTTTTACATTTACATTTATAACTTCCTTGTTTTCTTTCCTTTTTCCTTTTTTCTTTTTTCGTCTTCCATTTCTAACTTTGTATATTTCCTAGTTTCCATCTTTCTTTTTTCTTTCAGTTTTTGCTTTTTTCATCTTACATTTATGAATTTCTTTGTTTCATTCTCTCTAAACGACATTCTTTATTCTTTCCTCCTATAAAATACCTTCTTTCTTTTGCAGTTAATTTTCTATCTCTTTTCAATCAAGATTTTTACGCACTTATTCACATTTCCTTCTTATTGGAAAGCGAATGAAAATCCCAAAATACAACTAATAAATATATAAATATTTAAAGAAAGAAACAAAGAACATTGATAGAAAGAAATCGTTTTTTTTTTTAAATAAACAACAGAAACATAATGAAA